CACCCCATGCCTCTGCCGTCGCCACCGCCACAGTCTCCTCCACTCGCACCCCCATCACCGCCTCGTCCACAGCTCCTGCTCCGGCCCCATCCCTCGGACCGGCCCCCCTCGCCCCGGTTCCCGCCGCCCCTGCCACCTCCACCTCCACAATCCATGGCGCCACCACCACCGCCTCTGCCGCGGCCGCCGCCGCCATTGTCCCCACCGCCTGCCCGATTTTCGGGCCCGCGCGGCGCGCTCAACTCTTCTGGAAACTGGTGATTAACATGGCGTTAATTGATCGCTTTGGTTGTCGGTTGCGGAATGTTGTTGGCGGACAAGTGCTTGCTTTGTGATGGAAAATTAGTGGGGTTTGATTTTGGTAATATCCTCGTTTGTTTTTATGTTGTTCAGTGTTCCACCTTGAAGTTGGCGATAACCGCCTCTTTTTATGAATGCCATTTAATTGCAATACATTTATTGCAGAGGCTTCAACGAAATATTCGACATATTGAATCAATTTTTTTTGTTTAATGTCCCTTTTTTATTTATTTTTCTTCAACTCTCGTATACACACACTGTTTCTCGTTTTGAATGTTGTTGTTGTTGTTGTTGTTGTGATAAAACATTCAGTTAATCGGTTTTATCAGATTTCAGATAATAATATTTTATATTTTTTCAAGCGTTGGCTTAATATTTTGATTTTCTCTGGTTGTCAATGGTCTTGCTTCACCTGGTTGAGCCCTTATTACTATTACATCTCTAAAAATAGTTTTAAAAATGTCACATTATTGGATAATTCGCGTAATTTCATTTTATTGATACTTTGCTTACAGAATGAACCTTTTACAAATCAAAACACAGTGTGCAACACAATGCTCAATCTCCAATATATTCAATTTCAAATACTTCCTGCATGCTGGTTTAGCTTCCCCACTGTCTCTGTAACATCCTGTTCAGGAGATCCAAGGATTCCAATTCCGATGGTAGCGATTTTCGACATTACTCGGATAGCTAGGTCGAGTTCAGTCTTTGCCTGGAGGTGAATTCTTGCGGCCGGCTGCTCTGATCGGTTGTTTTGCTACATCTCTTTGATCAATATCAGTCGCATGCTCGATCCGTACCCTAACAACCGGGCGCTGGACCTCTCGCGAACTTTCCATTCTCTTCATTGTCTTATCCTCATCCCTCGCACACTCGCTCGCACACACACACACACTTACATGCAGTACACTACCACTCACGTTAGAAGATCCCCATCCGAAGGGAGCAGAACACCTCCACCTCCTGTGCGAAAGCATTCACTTATACATTAACGCAATTAAATTACTTGTCTATTTGCGGAAACGTCAATCAAAAGAAAACTTTCTGTAATTATGATAATATAATATAAACGAATGTGACCACAAAATGCCCCGACCTTCTCTCACTACTTTCTCCTCGTCTTATTTCTACTACTCCATAGTTACTACTACAGTGTCTATCTTCCCAGTTGCTACCTATTGGGGCCTAAAATATGTTTTCACATTTTCTCAATTTTTCGATTCTCTGACTGTAGAATTGAAATATTACTTTAAAAACATTATAGAAGACTAAAACATAGTTGTGTATGCAAATGTAATTCAATAACTAACTTTGAATT